GGGTTAAGGCCATCTATCGTCCTTCTACTATTAAAAATAGTGCATTTTAAACCTTCTACTATGGATTAGCTTCATGTCGTCCCTTTACTATTAATTAACTTTACCTGTCGTCCCTCTACAATACAAAACCATGCTAATGTCGTCCCTCCGTCCAATGGAAGCTAACGGTGTTGTTTATTGACCATTAAGTTAAATGGTCAAACCAGTTAGACCTTTTTTATTTTTCTTTTTTGGTTGCCATCCTTGTTTGTGGGCCTCTCCCTTGCAAAGAAAAACAATTTTATTCAAGGATACTTTTCTGGTCTGCATGGAAGTGAAAAAAACAACTGATAAATTAAATTCTACGAGAGATCTATTATGTAAATCATAAATTATAAAAAAAAAAAAAACTATTCCTAACTATTTGGTGTTTCTTTTTGTCGTTTTAATTATTATTCTTTTATTGTGGTTTGTTATTCTTCTTTCCTCAATCTTATTTTATTTGTATTTTACATTGACTCAAATGAACACATAATTTATTTTTTAGATTTAATAAATTAAAAATTATCATTAATTATTTAAGTTGTTGATCTATTATATATAATTAGTTTAATTATCACTAAAGACTATCTCATTACACTAAATATATATAATGGATTTAAAGTTTATTCGGCCTAATAAATAAACACTTTAGATAAGTAAAAGGAAAGAAAATGATTCGTTGTCAGGACTTGAACAATTTATAAATTTTGAAGAAATTTTAATCATTTTGCTATAGATATTTCTTTGTTAATTTGTGAACAAAAATAACTTTTACATAGAGAAACTATTAAATAGAAAAACAAAAGAGGGGAAAAAAAAATTCCTCATGTCATGATTGTAGCAGAACTTCTAAAATTGCAAATAAAGAAAAATAGGAAGAGACATTTGGTTACTATTTTTTGTAAGAATTTGAATAATGAGAGATTCTATTTTGCTTCAGTAACCAAATGTCTCTTCTTATTTTTCTTTATTTGCAATTTTAGAAATTTCGCTACAATCATGACATAAGGAATTTTTTTTTCTCTTTTTTTTTTCCTGTTTAATAGTTTCTCTATGTAAAAGTTATTTTTGTTCACAAATTAACAAAGAAATCTCTATAGCAAGATGGTTAAATTTTTTTCAAAATTTATAAATTGTTCAAGTTCTGACAGCGGATCATTTTCTATAGGCCTCAACTATATCCCATCCGTTATGCAATTGTGATAGGATGCTTTGGCCTAATTTTCCTTTTTTTTTTTCTTTTGATCTTTTCTGTTTTATTATTTGCATCAACTCCAGTTATTTTTTTTTTTTGGTATGACCATCCAGTATCCAGAAGCCTATTAAGCCACTAACTAATCTGGATTCGAGCCGGGTAGGACCCAATGGGCGGCAAAGCTCTCCCTCATGAATTTTAACGGAGCTGCATTCCCAGGGCTTGAACTCAAGACCTCTGATTAAGCTGGAAGAGTCCCAACCAACTCATCCACCCGCTCATGGGTATCAACTCCAGTTATTAAATTTATCTTTTCACATATTTAGCTTCGTGGTCGCAAATTTGCTGGGAATTAGAAAAGAAAGGTACTATATTTCTGACTTCTACTACTATTATTTTAGTTGTGTTTTTGTTTTAATTTTTTAAAAATCAAACTAATTTGTTTATAAAACGAAGATTTATGTGCTCAAATTTTATAATTTGACATTTTTTTGGGCCCTTCAATAATTTGATAATAAATATTTATATTTTTTTTAGGTTAAAATATAAAAGCGTATTTATTTTTAAGACTTAATTTTGAATGAAATTTTAAAATTAAATTTCTATAACTATTAATTATATGGGTTTATATGAAATGCACATCATAATGAATAATTACTCAAATTCGTTTTAAATTGCGGTCTTAAAGATTGCTTTTAACCATCATTATCCAATGTGAAATTGTAAACCATTTTTTAATGGAGAAATTGAAAACTATTAATTCTTTGCCTAACCGTTCGTTCATTTTCGTTTTTCATTTTTCATTTTTCATTTTTTTATGAATAGTAGTTCTTTTATTTTTATTTATTTCGTTATCTTTTATTAATATTTTTTTGGTCTTCGTTTTTTTTTATTATTTATATTTATCTAAAAGAAAGTATTTATCAATCATACTGGCAAATTTAAGAATTCTTTATGCTAAAACTACAGTATATCTCGATAAACTCACCTTAGTTTTATACCATAAAGTATCCTTGAATAAAACTGTTTTTCTTTGCAAGGGAGGGGCCCACAAACAAGGGTGGCAACCAAAAAAAAATAAAAAACAACCTAATTAGTTTGACTGTTGAAGTTAACGGTCAATAAAACACACCGTTAGCTTATATTGGACAGAAGGACGACATTAATATGATTTTGCATTGGAGAGGGATGACAGGTAGAGTTAATTAATAGTAGAGGGACGACATGAAGCCAATCCATAGTAGAAGGTTTAGAATGCACTATTTTTGATAGTAGAGGGACGATAGATGACTTTAACCCTAAAAATCACTTGGGGGGTACTTTAAAAATCAAACTTGACTTACTTACAGAAGGAATATGAAAGTGAAGCTCAAGCTTCGTCTAAAAGTTAAGCTTTGGTTCAATATATGTAAACAAGAATAAATAAAAATTTTTATCACTTAATTACTACATTCTGATTTTAATGAATAAAAAAATTAAGTTAATTAAAATTGAAGAGATGCTGAAAAAAAAATAAACTTCAAAATTTTCTTTTTCAATTAAGTCATGAACCTTTTCTTTTTTTTTGGTGTGTGCAGGGGCGGGGGGCTTTGAATTAGGAGAGTCCAACATATTCGAGTGCTTTAAAAATCAAACTTGACTTATTTACTAATACATTGTTTGGGAACATGAATTTCACCATGTGTATTTGAATTTGGACACTTCAAATTCAATATCACCGTTTGTTTTTATTTAAATAAAATGTAATTAAATTTAAGTAAAATACATGTATTTTACCAGAGTATTTGAAAGAGATAAATTCCGCGTATTTCAAATTCATTCTCAAATTCATGAATTTCAATTTCAAACCTATGAATTTCAATTTGAAAGGGAATTTACTCT